TATATATATATATATATACGCCCAGGACGAATGTTCACATATTTTTTATAAATCAACACCATAGTGTTTTAAAAGACTGTTTACATTAGGTGGTTCTCTACCCTAAACTTTTTGTAGACTTGGGTAAAATACGGCAGGGTTTGATCTCCTACTAGACCTTAACTGCTATTTAACAACTGAACTTCCCTTTGTTCTCCCGCTGATCTGTTGCTCTGCAGTCCTAACACTGCGTAAGCTCTGTGTCGGAGTTTACACAGGTCTGATGACATCATCCTCCTCATCAGGTGACAGTGTTCAGGCCTGGCTTTTGTCCTGCTCATTTCTGAGTCACATGCTCCCCCATATGCAAAAGTGCAGGGTATTTATAATGGCTGCTATGAAGAAACAGGGCAGCAGGGGGTGGAGAGAGAAGATGAATAAAAGTGGGTTGAGAAATGGGCTTGTAAGAGATTCTGTTGCTTTGGCCTAAATAGAAAAATCGACAGAATTCCTCAAAATCAAAAGATGTTTATCATTTTAATCAGAACTCCGGGGAAAATATTCTTAACCTTTGCTGCAAGGGTTAGTTGCTCATTTTGTCTAGGTTAATAAAAAAAAAAAGTTACACCTGACCCTCGGAGCCGACTCTTGTAAAGTAGCGGTGTCTATTTTACAACACACACGGGGACCATGGGGAACAAAAGTAGGCACCCTCCAGAAGGAAGGACAGTGTCAGCACCAATTCAGAGATGATTTGAGGAGCTACAACTGAGCGAAACACAAATAAACTATTTTTTTTAAAAATTATAGTTAAAGGAGAACTATGAGGCGAGAGATTTTCACTCAGCCTCATAATCTGAGGCGACCTGTGACAATGAAACTGTCACAGGTCGGCTCAGTAGATCGGGAAGTGAGCGAATACATACCGGCGCTCGCTCACCTCTCGATCCTGCCACGGCTCTCTGCCATGACAGGGTAGGGGCTGGATTCCCCGCTCCTATCCGCCAGCGCTGACTGGCGGAACGGACGGGGAGGGGGCGGGTACAGCTGGCTCTGCCTCTAGATAGGCAGAGCCAGCTGTCACTCACGCAGCTGGGCGGATCTCGACATCAATGTCGGGATCCGCTCCGGCTGCGGCGTCTCAGTATACCGCGAGCTGTAGCTCGCGGTATACTGAGCTTAGCATAACGGGAGGACGCTAGTTTGCCGTTCGCTGGTCTCCCTCCCATTTTTCAGCTGAACCCTGGAAATATGTCAAGTAGTGTCAGGTGAAGGTGCACATTTCAGAGCCTGTGGAAGTAATTGGGCAGCTGTACAGACAGTCCTCCTTACACATGTAAACACACTATAGCAGCCAGGAGTCTGCTTACAGGGTTCCTCTGGTCCCGATGTATGGCATACGTCAGCAACAGTGAAAGTTAAAACTGTGGCAAACACAAAAAAATACCCTTGCAATACTCGTTTCTGCTAAGGGACCAGGAATAAGGAGTTTTACTTATCTACCCCATAGCTCCCCTGGCAGCTGTCAGTCTCCTCTTGTCCCTGATGCTCTGACTTGTGGATGGTTCCTCGCCTTTTTGTGTCCAGCATTATACTTGAAAACATTACAGTGCCTGTGACCGACAGAGCATCAGGGAGAAGAGGCTGCAGGAGTCGCTCTTACAGCATGGGGGAAGCCTGTAGGAGGCAGTGATGAGGTAGGTAAAATACCTTTTTACAGGTACCCTACACATATATGAGCATTTAACCCTTGCAGTGGAGACCCGGAGAGCAGTAAAAAGTAGAGAGGGGTTCTAACCACTGCCCCACTCTATCCACAGCTAAAAAAAAAAAAAAAAAGATGTTTTTGGCTTGACAGTTAAATGGCCTTGTTGTAAGTGCAAGTGTTTGCATTGTAATGTACTCTTTCCTTCTTTCTGCTTAGTTGTCCCTTCCTACACAGAACAACGGGTGATACAGAAAGAAGGTACCACCTACGCTATTACAAAACTGGTATCTGCATCCACGAGACAGACTCCAAAGGTCACTGTACCAAGAATGGGCAGCACTGTGCCTTTGCCCATGGGCCCCATGATCTACGCTCCCCCGTGTATGATATAAGGTAGGAGGATCACAGATACACTTGTGTTGCCTTTTTTTCCTGCACGCAAAGTTTTATGGTTATGATTTTAAGTTGAATAAGCCTTTCTCATCCATTTTACTGTGAAACTACCATTGAAATAATTTTCAGGTTTCAGGGACCCGTGTCAATCGTTGTGACATCTTCAGCTTGCAGTACATTACGGGTGATCAGTAAGTTCTAGATATAATATAAAATAACACAAATAAGAATATGGTACGCCTAACGTATTTGACATGTAAGCCACATTGAGCCATGTAAGCCACGTGAGCGCAACGTCTGACATCATCGGCGGCCCGGGCATATATACTGAACGTGCGCATGTCCAGCTGCCATTCTTTGGCAGTCAGACCTCATCCTATGTCAGTACCTCAGTGCCCATGCCCCGGGCAGATTCTGCAAGCCCCCACTCATAGACCATCTGGAAAGTTGGCGGCACAGTGGGCGATGTATATGCAATGCCGTTTATGTGGATAAACCCAAGCGACTTTTCTGCAAGCGAATATATGACAATCTTTATTACTGATGGATAAACAACTACCGCAATGAGTCGGCATGTTGGCTTCTGTCATAGTTTTTTTTTTTTTAAAGAATATTCTGTCATAGTTTTAATACATCAGTAATAAAGTTCTATGCATTAAACATCATATAGGTTTAAATCCATATACATAGTAATAGTAAAGGAGGGAATGTGGATCCCTTGTTACAAGGGATGTGGTGCCTGAATCACCTGTCAATCCAGAAAATTTAGATTATTACCGGCAGCGGTTCTCAAACGCTTTCAGTCAGGGCACCTTTTTGAAAGTGTGCATACTCTTGGGGCAGCCCAGTCTAAAATGTAAAGAACAACATGTGGTTCATTCCCCCAAAATCAATACCAAACCCTTATCCTAGACAAGGTCTGATATGGAAGCAGGAGCAGAAGAAATTATCCGCTGACAAGATTTCTGGAAGCATCAATGGATATTTTGCAAACTACTTATCAAACAAATATAACAAAATGCTTTCTATGATATATTCAACAGATCAAAAGAGAGACGAAGGGTTTTCTCATCAGCCACCTAATCCAAATGTTTTAATGCTAGTTAGAAAGTGAAAACATGGACTGATCGTTTTCTGTGGTCAGCTGTGCTAATCTTCCATAGCTTTTGTAGAACAGTAAGACACGCTAGTGTTTATCATTGATCCCCATGTGTTGTATATGAATCTGCAATATATTGGAGTTTTTTGTTTTAATGCAGGGAGCTGCAGGCCATGGAGGCACTACAGAATGGACAGACACCCCTCGATGGAAGTATTGAAGGACAGACTGCTGTAGCTGCAAGCCATGCCATGATAGAAAAGATTTTAGGAGAAGAGCCACGTTGGCAGGGTGAGAACGTTTTAAGAAAGTCTAAAATTCTATTTCCATGTTCGTCCCTTCTATCTACATTACCATGAGATTATTAGGAGTTGAAGAGTTCAAAACATAGTCCCTACTGCATCTTACCTGCGTCATCATTGCCCAAGGAAGATGTTGTGGAGGATCCCTAGTAAAATACCAGTGCAGCACTTGTGTAGTTAACAATCGGGTAACTCCAGGACCAATGTTTTCCATACAGCTTTCTATAGGGCTTGATGTTTCAGGACAATTGATAGGTTGCAACTTGATCTGGCACATTTATCTAGCTGTGCCAAAGGAAAGAGGTGACTGTCTCACTACCTTGGGTCTTTCCAACATCCATCGGAGTTAGGCTTTATCTCTAGTTCAGGGAAGTAGATTGTTTGAACTTTATTTAGTAGCTGCAGCAGTCTCTCTTCCAGTTGTTCTATTATTTGTGTGGTGCATTAAGATGTATAAACTGTAAACTAATTTTTGTTATTATAAAGGATATATATAGCGCCAACAGTTTGCGCAGCGCTTTACTGATTCTGTTTTTCAGAATGTTTGTCCTTATGCCTCACTGTATACAGTTTTCTTAAGCAAATCATTTTTGTGAATCTGTTCCAAAGTTTCTTACCTGGAGATCCTGCCAGTTAAAGCACTTGCTGTTGCAGGTTGACAACACTAAGCTACTGCCTTGAAATTTCCAGCAATGTTGTCAGCCGAGTTTACATACAGGCAAGGGAATGAGGTTGCTCTTAGTATCACACCAGATGCATTGGCACATGGAAAGCATTGGTGTAACCGAGTCTGCTTTGCAGTTCTGACACCTTTGAAGACAGCTTTGCCTAAATCCCTAAGACCATGTGCTGTGGACATGCAAAACTGCTGGGTTGAACAAGGGCTTAGTAAAGGCTCAATGTGATCTTAAGATCATGTCGTTTAGGCCTCATTCATGCGAGAAAAGGCCGGCACGTACAGCTCCGTGCTGTGTGCACGGCCGTATCGGGGCAGCTCCTGGGAAGGACAGGTGCTGTGCGTGATTAGTACACGGCCCCTGTCCTTCTCTATGGGAGTACGCTGCCATATGCCGCCTTACGCTCACCCCAAGTGCAGGTCCTTGCGGGTGTTTTCCCAGCTGGGACAGAGACAGGATCCATCCTGTCAGCGTATAAGTACGGACACCTGCACGTACGTGCAGGGAGGGTGAGCGTAGGGCGGCGTACGTCTGCGTACTCCCATAGAGAAGGTAACATTTCGACTGACAGCAGAAGGAGCCTCAGTACTCTCCCCCAGGACCTGGATGTTTGGGGAAAGCAGAGTATTTTCTGGTCCTGCTGGAGGAGACGACTGACCACAGGTAAGTGTGAGGGGTCAGGGGTTACAGAAAGGTACTGGGTGTTTTTTACCTTAAAGGAGAACTATGAGGTGAGTGCTTTTCACTCACCTTATAGTTCTAGCCGACCTGTGACAATGAGACTGTCACAGGTCGGCTCAGTAGATCGGGAGGTGAGCGAACACATACCGGAGTTCGCTCACCTCTCGATCCTGGGCTTTAGAAATAAATCAGCAGTGACAGCTCCCACACTTTATTCTGACATGTCAAGGCCTGTTACAATTTTGTAACTTGTTTAAAAATAGCCCAGTATTCAATTTTTTGTTTGTGTATCTAAACCCAAAGACAAAAATGTTATAAATCATCAATTACCTGACCTTAGATGGGGTGGCTGCATTTGTTTTCATTCTTCAGGCGTCTTTCCTTTCCTGGTTTTCCTGCCAGTAATGTACTTTGCGTCCTAGGGTGACAACACTCACTCACAGTACTGTATCTAAAGAGAGTAAATTACATCATCTCACATATTACCAGCTGAGTAATGATGTTGCAGAACCTAATCTTAACTAATCCTAATTGTTTTTTTTCTTATTTGCAGACACCACGTATGTTCTTGGACACTACAAGACAGAACAGTGCAAAAAGCCTCCACGACTTTGTCGCCAGGGGTACGCATGTCCTTATTACCACAATAGCAAAGACAGAAGGAGAAGTCCACGCCAAAATAAATACAGGTATATTAGAATGAAATAAGTAAAATCAATATAGCATTCATACTTTAAACTTTTTGCAGCCAAGACTTTTTTTTTTTTGCACTCATGTTACAATTTACATTTTAGGCCTGAAAATTACTCAAACCCCCTGAGAGTTCTAGATTTCCTAAAAGCCCCTTTTAGCTCCTAGTGTCATCTTTGTACTTCAAAGAAGCTATTCAAGCACAGTTTGTGCTTGAATAGCTTCTTCCTCTGCTTTTCTAGTCGGGGGAATGACAGCTGAAAAGCCGGAAGTGATGCAATCAGCGTCGCTTCTGGCTTCAGCATCGCATCTGTATATTATTATATAGGATTGATATACTGCCAACAGTTTGCGCAGTGTTTTACAATATAAAGCATGTGCACAGGAGTTAATTCATCCAAGGATGTATGGCATGGCAAGATTGTGCACCGAGTTGCGCATGCCATATTCTTTACTTTTTATGCAGCCTGACACTTATCCACCATAAAATAAAACTAAACGCCCAAAGTGAGCCCTTTAAGTGACATTAAAGCTTTTTGTTCTCCCCCCTATGCTGCTGTAAGCACTTACCTTATTTGATGCCTCTTGATCCGATCATCTTCTTCCTTCCACTCGTTTCTGACAAGTCCCTCCAGCGCTGGTGCCGGTCCCTGATCCACCGTAGACGCCTTGTGTCCCGCGGTGTCTGTCTGGCGTGCGCGTTCCCGGATGCATGGCTGTGTCCATTGAGTTTCATTTTCTCTCCTCTCCCCTCGCTCTACTGCACATGCGCCCGCACACTTCTTCCTCTCAGCCATTCGGGAGCTTCAGCTGGGAGTGAGCGGTGCTGGAACAGGTAAGTAATTAGGTATTTGCCTAATTATTTTTTTTTTTTTTTTATCATGGGGCATATATCTACTGCTTGCTAGCAGTAGATGTATGCCAAAAAAACATAAGACTTTACTTATACTTTAACATTTGACCCCACTCTGAGGGTTAAATATATGCACACACACACACTGTAACCCTTAAAGCATGACCTTGACTACTGTTGATCCTGTAATGTGATTGGCTTCTTCCTAGAGAAGTAAGGATGCTTGAGAGATGGGAAGAAAAGCTAAGATTTTGCATATACCTTAAACTGTCTGTCTCTGTGAAACAACTTTTTTAAAATATTTTTTTATTATGTTCTCAGTTTGAATTGCCTAGTTTTGTGACAGGTTTGCTTTCATTGTGGGTAATTTTATACCCAGAACCGGATTAAGGTAGGGCTCAAGGCAAGGCAGCTCAGCAGCCTTGTCCCCCCATTTTTCGAAATGGGTAAAGATTGCAATAGGCACAGAGTCATTGTCTTATTTGCATTGTCTTTACTGGCATGACTCGACCCAACAGACAGCATCTGCCTATAAGTGGATCTTCCATTATTGTGCACTAAATGCACTTTCCCCTTGTTTGACTTCAAGAGTATAAAGGTGGTAGCTGTCCCCCCCTCCCGAGATCCACTTGGCTCTAGGCTTCTGCCTAGATTGTGTTGTGGATGATCCAGCTCTGGTTATACTTACAAACAGTTGTTTGTCTGCTGGCAAATTAAATTTATTTTCTGGTTTACCTGGCTTTCACATTTGTTTTTTGCATAGGTCTTCCCCGTGTCCAAATGTGAAACATGGAGATGAGTGGGGTGACCCTAGTAAGTGTGATAGTGGAGATTCATGCCAGTACTGTCACACAAGAACAGAGCAGCAATTTCATCCTGAGGTAAAAGCTCTTATTTTTTTTTCTCCAACTTTCATTCTGACTCTCACCACACAGAGCTATGGTGTATCATCAGTTCTAACATTCCTTTCCCCCTCTTGCATAGATTTACAAATCTACAAAGTGCAACGATATGCAACAGTCTGGCAGCTGTCCACGTGGCCCATTTTGTGCCTTTGCACATGTTGAACGTACGTTATTTTATCACACTTCAGTGCGTAACCTGTACAATGTGCTGAAAATAATGAACAAAAATGTAAAGTGTAGGTAAAGTAAAACATTTTCTTTAGATAGCCAGGTTTTTATCGACGTGGGGTGTGAGGTAGCACCGAACTTTCCTCATGGAAAGTTGCGTGTGCCCAGACATTGCCGATGCGCTCGATCGAGTCATATTGCACTTTTTTTTTGTTAGAACTTTATTGAAATATTGAAATGTGACATTACATTAAGTTCTCTGGGCTCACTGCAGTGTGATGCATTTGTATAGTGTCTCACTGCGGTGCGCTTAAAAAAAAGTACTGCATGCTGCACCTTTTTTAAGCGCGCACCACCGGAGCGCGGTGGTGTGAACCAAGCCCATTCATGACAAGGCAAATTGCCTTTTCTTGCATCCGGGCTGCGCTGGAAAAAATGTGCAGCACAGCCTGAACGCATATGGTGTGAACCAGCCCTTAGCCATGAAGAAGGGCGAGTACCCTGAAACATGTTGAATGTTTTATGTACACCAAGTTAGCTACAAAAAAATAATTTCTTATAGTTGGGAATCTTGGTTTATGGCACCCATTACTATGGATTTTTATTGCTGTCTGTGACCCTGCTGGATAGATTTAGCCACTGTATTTGTCCTGGAGACCATTGGTTTCTGGCAAAGTAAGTAATTGAAAATCCAGAATTTTGTCACTGGAAGAGATGAGAGGAAATCTTCCAATAAGGGCACCTGTTCTGGGGAAATCTCACAGACAGTAAAAAAAAACCTAACAGGGGTTCTAATTGTGTTCCTTATCGTAAATTGGAAAAATAATAATTATGGCTATAGATATACTTTAAAGCTACTTTATAGTCATACATAGTGTAGCTGTTTTAAAATATCTTGACTCAGTGCCCCAACTGCCTGTCAAGTAGTATAAATAAGTGCAGTTGACTTCTGTGAGTGTCAGTTGCATACTAGTTCTGAAGCAGTGAAGCTGAATGAGTTCTGCTTCATTGCTAATGACATTATCAGAACTATTATGTTCCCGGTTAAAAATTGGGTCATTGGCATGCTGATTGCCTCATAAAATAATCCCTCCACTGCACACTCTAAGCTCCGGAGTTGACAATTTGCTTTCGGTGGGGTATACACGCTTCTATTTTCTTTGTTCAACCTGCTGGCTGATTGAAGAAAATTGAACAGATTCTTCCATCAACACTGATGGAGAAATATCCTGCTTTTTTCCTATGTATTTCCCAGACAGAGCTGTCAGCTCATTGGCTGCTAGTTCTGTTCGGCTGACAATTTTTCAACATGCTTCTTCGGTCAGCTGATTGAGGGATGCTAGCCAGAAAGGTGCTGGCAGCGGCACCCACGCGTCGAATTTCGGCTGGTTCTTGATGAAATTTGAGGAGTGAATACCCAGCTTTAGACACAGATTGCTGCAGATGCTGCCTCTGTTTCTATTGTCTGATCTGCTTGCTTAATAGTATAATATTCTTGTTATAGAGTCTCTTCTATGTGATGACTTACAATCTCCTTCAGCTGTGTCAAGCCCTACACAAACCGGACCTGTCATGTATATGCCTTCAGCTGCTGGAGACTCTGTCCCTGTGAGCCCATCCAGCCCCCATGCACCAGACTTCAGCAGCGTATGTTGTTTGCATTTTCTTTTCCCTTTTTTTAATAGAAATCTTCTGCACTGAGCTTTTTTGCAGTTGTAATTCATGAGTGTGGTCTATAAGTAATTTTTTTTAAATACGCGTAATACTCTTTTCTTAAATGCCTCTAGTTACAGATAGACATGATGATGTTAAAGTCAAGTTGATACAAAAATAGAAAAGTGCTCAGACAGATTTGCATTGAAAACCTCTTTCCTCATTTTACCTACACTTTCTTGTTACAGCAGCTGTGCAGGGTGTCCAAGCATGACTGTAAGGTCCAATAGGCACCAGAGTTATACCTAGTGAATTCTGTTATGTAACAGACATGGACAGACACCCCCCTTTCTCTTCTCTGCAGCACAAGTCAATGCTGAGGGTGTGGCTGTTACTCAGCTCTGCTCTGTCAGCACAGAACACTGCAAAGTGAGAGCAGGAAGCTGCCTTTTCACTGAGAGAAAAGGGTATTTTAAGGCATTTCCTAGCAAAAAATAATTTCAAACCATGTGGGGAGACAGAATTATAAAGAGAAGGTGTGAGACTTTAATTGGTCTTCATTACTAAAGAAAGATGACTGTCTTTCTGTACAAAAATGTTTCTTTCTTGTCCATTTAGTACACAGGAATTCAGATAGTCAGGTAAACTGCCACCTACAGGAGAAAAATGATACACCCCCACCCTCTTCCCACTCAGAATGCCTCAGGTTTTTGCTGATGTCATAGGTGGAAAGCATGTTGTCTTCAGCTTTGCGTTAAGAAAATCTAACCAATTTTTGCTAGCTTTTTTCCTTTGATTTTTCCCCCCTTGGATTCTTCCATTGATTTCAATTAAGAGTCTTCACATCATTGTTGCTTGAGCTGGTCTCTAAATGACAACTATCCGCATAGGCATTTCCTCAGCCTAACTTTGGAGGCCATAGCTGGACCCCCGCTGGACTGGATGATGTGGGGCTAGTCTCGAATATGACCTTTGGTTCGCTGGGCTCTGCATTGTGGCGCTTTCCAGACCTAATGTACCATGTTAGATAACTGCTGTGTGCTTTCTAGGTCCAGAGCCTTGGCACAGTCTCAGATGGGACCCTGTCTCTAAAGACTCGCTATGCAAGTAGGGCCGGTCAGGATAAAGCACTGGGTGATACCTCACTATTTGCACAGCTTGGCACTTTTTACATTTTACTAAGGGACTGTGAACTGAGATCATCCGTTAGGAGGTGTGTCACGCTTCACACTTTCTTTTTCGCCATTCAGAGTAAAGGAAGCAACGTCCAGCTGCTGATCCTGCTCCGAAAAGCCCCACGTGGAACTCCGGTCAGGGCCGAATTTCCCACAAGGCCAACCGAGGCCTGGCCTCAGGGCAGCAGGGAGTAGAGGGACAGCAGGGGTGTAGAATTCCTATCTCACGACGCACGAGACATGCAGTTCTGGGCACCGGGCGGGTAGTTGTATTCTACATTTAGCTAAATGTAGAGCAGGGAAGCCACCACTCGTTCTGTACAAGTGATAAAAAAGTTTAAAAAAATATTAAAAGCAACCATGCGGCCCCCCGCCATCTGGGGGGAAATTTGGTGGGGCGGGGGGGGGGGGCACATTAACGAACCTTGCCTTGGGGCAGCAGAGAGAGTAAATCTGGCCCTGACTCCTCTCTCTGCTCTGTTCTCACTACTTGCTACAACGACCTTGTCACCTCTGACTTTGTGATCCTCATCACTACCAGCTGCCTGGATTTGTGAATACCTGAGGCCTTGCCTTGCACTTCGGGCCTAGTTGCAGCTGTGCCACGTAGACACAACATATCTGCACACTGGAAACCTTCCCGCTGTGACCCAAGCCCAACAGTTTTGGGGGCATCTACTCCGTATCCCCTGAGGGACTGACTGGCATTTGTTATCTAGAATCCTTTAACCCTATAGTTATAGGGTCTACATCATTAGGTCTTCTTCAGCTCCACTGGGTGTGGCCGAGACCCCTATACAAGGGCTTCTACTGCAACTCAGGAATTTATGGCCATATTTACTTATTTCCTCATGGATATTGACTGCAGAAGCTCTAAACCTGCTCAGGCTCTATCCACTGTAGAATCTACCTACCACTGAGGTTCCCGAGACCTTAGATCGGGCTGGGCCACCAGTCACTGAGTCCCAACAGTCTGTCTCTGAAGAGACTCTTTTTGAGACATCACAGTCACCTGCTGTCACCGCAGATTTACAAGGGGTGTTTCAGACCTTATTTATGCATTGCTTATTACCTTGCAGTTGGAGGATCAACCCACTGTCTTCAGCCTTGAGTCTTTTAGAGCTCCTGCAGCTGCAAGGACTTTTACTGCACCCACTATTCAAGGTTTTCCTCTATGTGGATTAGAAGCACCCTAAAGGGTCCTGGGCCTTGCTTGAGAGGGTGCTTTCTGCCAGAGACTGACTAAGCTCTCTGCCAAATCTTCACCATGAAGGTGTGCCAACAATTCTAGAAGTGGGTCCTTTGGTATTTTGCCCTCCAGGCATTTAGTTACAGTGAGCTTTGATGTTAAAGTTCACAGACTAACTTCTGGCCTTTGGTACTCTCTTCAGTTGCTCCCTCTTTTCTTCCCTGTGCTACTTCACAGATGAATGCACCTGGCCCTCTCCTCTTGGGTTCCTCTCACTCCTGGTCCCTCGGCTCCAGTCCCTGTGTCAGTTTGACCCCTGGAGCTGGGCTCCTTCTGGACCACTACTCTCATGCTCATAGAACTGCCGTTCCCTTGGGGCATCCTAGACTCTTAGTGAACTGGGTACTGGGTAATCCCCGGTGTCATCACCCTTCTAGACCTTTTAACCTTCTAGATCAATTGTGGTCAACTTTGACTGTCCCTCATCCGGATAGAGACCCGCATCCTCAGCTTTGCTCACGCAAACGTGATATCTCTAAGAGTGTTGACTCCTGTGTTAGGCCTAGTGCTTTTTTCTGATATCCCTATTGTGGGGTACTCCGACAACTTCCCTTGAAGAGATTTGGATGTTTGGCTCTTTTGTTTAGGTTGCAAATTGTTGTTGGTTTTTTGTTTTGTTTGCTGGTTTTTGCAGGTTTTGGATGATAAGCTGCTCGCTGATTTCGGTTGGTGTTCATATCTGTGTGTATGTCTGTGACAGTTCTCATTCATCCAGGTCGTGGTATGTCTGTAAAAAATAAAGCAAGGCAACTGGACTTGCTGTATTTTTCTTGAACACGTTTCGCTGGTCATCCGATTAGCTTTCTCAATTCTGAGATATTTCTGTGTGTAGTCCCCCCGTAGTGATCTTTTCTTCCTGATCTGAGCTTTATTTGATTCCTTCAGCCTGCTTCCCGACTGAATTCCTGTGTCCCTTAAGGGAAGAGAGAAAATAACATTTTTGTACTTATTTTAAAATCCTTTTTTTGGAGTCAATTGAGAGACACAGGTCCCTCTGTGTTTCTGGTCATGCTCTTGGTATGGCTTTACCACAAAACTGAGGCATGCTGGGTAGAGGAGGGTCTATATATACGTGTGCTGGCTTACAATATTCCTGTTTGCCATTGTCCAATCCTCCTGTAGCCGACAGTATTTAAATTCCTCTGCACCTCAATAGACTCCAAAAAGATGGTTACGGTAAGTACAGAAATCCTTCTTTTGTGATTAGAGTGTCATACTCAAATAAGAGCTTGTTCATACACAGGCTTTAGACTTCGAAACAAGTCAAATTTGAGTTGCTTTGGTTTGCCTTTTATTTGCTCAGAGCTGCATTGAGCTGCTTTCACATTGGCTTCTATAGAAAAGAGAAACATCTCAGACACAAACAAAAGAACCCTAAATGTTTTTGATAAGCAGAGAGGGATTGGTGTAATTTTAAAGAGTCCAGGCTGAATTTTAGGATTGTCAGTTGAAGGGCCACACTCTAATAGTCCTGATGCATCTTTATTCAGTGTAGGTCTGACTGGGCAATATAGAAATAGCCAACGTGTTTCAGGGACTCATAATGATACCCCATTCATCAAGGCTAGGAGAAAACAAAAGCAAATATCTATTTCAATAGACTATGATACTGCATTTCACTTTTATAGATTCACCTTATGTTTTGTCATGTTGGATAGAACAATGTCATTGTCATTTTCAATGTATTTCTTCCTGCTTTGCAGGTCTGGGGTAAAATGAGCCACCTTCCCACCAGTCCAACACCAGCATCAGTAAGTAAGAATTATTCCTTATAGTGTGGAATTCTGTAATCTTTGATGAGGCTATGTTTTGGAAAGTAAAGTCTTACTCTTTATTGCATTCTACTCAACTACTTTCATTGTTAATGAGAGTTGCTTTGTTCTTATATGATATGCTTTTTAAAGAGACCCTGTCACCAGACCATTCATTTTAACAACAATCTTCCCATAAGATTAAATGTGCATTTCATGCATGTAATTACCTGTAAAAGCCTCCCTTGTGTAAAAAGGCCTGAGACTGCTGGCGACCATCCTGGATGTGATGTCAGCAGACTCAGAGCTGTCACACAAGTGACCCCCCTCCCCGACGGCTAATGAAAAGGTCATGTCGGGAGGTGTATGGAGGAGTTTAGCTAGCACAGTCATAGATTCTCCCGGTGGAGGAGAGGGCTATGACATGGCAGGAGGCAGAGCGGGAACTGTGGCTGTGCTAGGGAATTGACTCTTCCTGGAGTAGTCAATTTCGCTAGCAAGTTCAAAGGCACATTTCAAGTGAATAAAAATTGTTATGGAAAAGAAGAACACTTCAAGTGAGCATTTATTAAACTTGGTTTCTCTTGATTTACTGAACAAAGGGGGCATACTATAGAGGAGGGTAGGCAAGCTCCAGCCCTTCAGCTCTGGTGCAACTATAAATCCCATTAGGAATTGCAGGACCCTGATAGCCACAGACATGACTCCCAGAAGCAGATGCATGATGAGATTTTGTAGTTTTACCACAGCTAGAGCGCTGGAGTTTGCCTACTCTGCTATAGAGTGTCACTTGAGTGACATCTCTGAGTCTGCTGGAGCTGGTGACATCACATCCAAGATGGCGGCACCTAGAAGCAGTGTCAGGGCTTTCAGATGTCTACAAAAGGGAGACTTTTACAGGTAAATACCATGCACAAAATACATCAAATTCACATCTTTTAGGAAGATTTGTTTTGAAATGAATGGTCTGATGACAGGGTCACTTTAATGGATTACTGAACAAAACAAAACAACTATGGAGTCTGGTAGCTGTGTGCTTACTGTAGGTTAGTGACTCGCTAAGTTGCTAAAGCAAGGATGAGTATGACAACCCTGAATCCTGCACTTTGAACAATGATTTGGCAATGGCAGCTCCAGTATTCTCTGGACAAGTTCCCATAAGGTGCTGTAACATCGTTCTTATTTTGAGTAGCAGGTTAAAAAAACCGAATTGCTGTTGTCTGACAGATGCTGTGTGCCAGCATAGGAAGCCCAACTCATCATTGTGGCTCTCCTCCGGGATCTCTTGGGAAGTCACACAACCTGGATAGCCTTGGTTTTCATGGTGACCTCTCAGGCAGCTACAAAAAGGCCCCAGGGTGTGAGAGGGAAGACTCCACAGGGACAGATTATCTTAAGAACTTCAAAAGCCAGGTCAGTATACCTGGTAACTGTCTTTCTCATTCTAGACCCTGTCTGTTGTCCCCACGCTCACTGTTTTGTTGTGTATTGTGACCACAGTGGTGCATTTATGTGCAGTAGCTGTTTCCAGAACTGTGTGCCTCAGCAGTATTAAAAGGGTAGTTCTGTCGCCTCACGTTCTCACTATTTGTTTTGTGAAGGCAAAGTTAAAACCACATCCGATGGAGCACAGAAATCAAGATCAATCTCTTCTACAGTCAAAGCAGGTAAGGGTTTATTTTCTAGTAACAAAAGTCTGTGTATATCAGCAAAATGTCTCAGTAATGTTTTTTAATGAACGGCTCAACATTTCTGATTTTAATATAGTTACAGCAGTTTAGCAGATTCTGAACCTCCTAGTTATTAAAGTATTTATTTATTCATCACAAGTATTTATATTGTGCTAACATTTTACACAGTACTTTACATACTGCACATTCACAATGACTGCTTATTAGCTTAGTGACTACAATTATGCATGGAAACAAAATCCTGCTCTTTCGTGACAATATAGTAAGGGGTGTAACCAAGTATGGTTTTCTAATAACAAAATGATTGACTGAGTCACATAGTGTATCTAGCTTTAGGTTGGTAAAAACCTGGAAGAGTAGCTTTTAAATTAAACATACCGTGGGCTAGTATGTAAAAAGTTTTCTCGGGATGTTTCTTGACATGGGTGTAACATCTTCACTGGCCTCCAGGTGGCACTGTGTACTTTTCACTGTGCTGTCAGCAAGGCATAAAATTGCAGACACTAGATCAGACATCTCAGATATGTGATCAGTTCTGTCACACCAAGCTATTATAATGAACCCAAATACATTGTCTCGTTAAATTATACTGCACAACTTAAATTCACCTAATCTATTTGTGTCGGTGTATTACATACAGCGAAAAAAGTTTTAAGAGATTGAAGAAATGTGTGGTAAGAGAAGTATGGAGACTAGCATTGTTGGCCTGTGTTAAAAACACTAGTTGCCTGGCCGATAAGTTACTCTAGCAGTTTAAAGGGACACTGTCATTTTGGCAAGAATGGGCTAAGTGACAGTGTCTGTGTAAAGTTGTTCCCCCAACCCATTGATATTCACCTCTCCTGTTACCCCTTGCCTTCACTTCTTCCATTAGAGCTGATGCAAAGTACCTGGTGCTCCTTTGTATGGGGAAGCATGTGGCCTCCCATAATGCAGTGCTCTAGCCTATCAGCCAAACGCTAGGCCCTAGCACTGTCACTTGTCAGGGGGAATAGGGTAGAGTCGCTGATTCCTTTCTAAGCTCTAACATCAGCTGACATTATTTATTTTAGTGGCAGCTGCAATGGAGGAAAGAGGGGCTTGCACTGGTGTCCTATGAAGAAAATCTGTGATGCAATGCAGGGCAAAGCAGCAGGTTTGCTTTTATACTTCCTTCCACTGCAGCACATACTACTCTGTCCTGTGATACACTGCAATTCTATTCAGTCACTGATTGAAGAAAATACCTGGTACTTCTGGGTATGGAGGAGCATACAACTTAATCCTTTTCCCCATATGTGACTGTGCTGGTTCTTGGTGATTGGCCCAGCCCTGTCACATGGGGACAGGGATACAGACAGTCCCCAGCCCTGTGTAAGCTGCTTATACAGGACTCACATTTCTCGCTCCCATGGCATAGTGAAAGGAAGGACATTATATGATGCTGGGGAGAGGGGCATTTAAGTGAACCTGTTTTTTTACCCTGCAGGGGCAAAGTATAAGCTTTGCTTCAAGATAGTGTATATTACTCATGTGTATTTAATAGAACTTGTTCATGCATAATGTTCACGTTCACAATATAAACTGTGCTGTGTGTCATATTCTGTTAACAAAGCTTTGCCATGTTGTTATCATCATTACAGGATGCATTAGGAATAATGCCAATGGGGAGCCCACTAACCTCAAGCATTTCCTCTAGTATCACTTCTAGTCTAGCTGCGACTCCTCCCAGCCCTGCAGCCATAAGTGGCACTCCTGGTATGAATGCCAATGCTCTGCCCTTCTACCCAACCAGTGACACAGTAGAATCTGTCATAGGTAAGATATATATATGTTGCCTTTTTACCAACTGTAACCAGTTAGAAGGTGAACAAGCTCTCCTCCCCACTACAGCCATTAACAAACAGCATGCGTGTTCTGATTTAAGCCCCTTCTGGGCACATGTTTTATTAGGCCCTCTGAATAAGTCCAGGGGGACTCATAATGCTTGTCTCTTTTCTAGCTATCCTCAGACTTTGCTTTTCTTTTGGGTTCCCAAGGCCAGTGTCACAAGTCTGGTGTGTGTTCCCCTTTAATGTCTCGAGTCTGGTGTGCTGTTCTGTCAGCCTGCCTTCATCTGAATCTACTCCGTCCTGTATTTGTAGCTATTTAGGGGCACCGCTCTCACCAGCCAGTTTTAATGTATACTTCTGAGTTAGTCTGTACTGACTCTAGCACTACACAGCTTCTGTCTGTACCTGTGTTCAGTTTAGGCAGTGGCGTCACAAGGGGGGTGCGGCCCGCACCCGGGTGACACCATTGGAGGGGTGACACCAAAATTACTCAGTCATTTTGGTGTCACCCCCCTCTGAAAAGTCGTGCGCTCGGTCATGGACCGAACGCCCGACAGTATCAGGAGAGAGGAGGGGACCCGGCGGCATACCTTATCTCGCCGGGTGACTGTCCCCTCCTCTCTCTGCCGGCGTCCATCACCAAGATGGCCGCCGGCATGTATCAGAATACTGCCGTACGTGCGCGATGATGTCATCACGAGCATGCACTCGGTTACCGCTCCGGGTGTCACCCAGCCTCAGGACGCCCCTGAGTTTAGGCCCTTCATTCTTGTGTAATTCTAATCTGACCTGTATTGGCTATGGCTTCTCTTTCTTTTCCTCTGACCTGTATAGGTTTCACCTCTGATCTGTTACATAGTATTTGAGGTTGAATAAAGACCTAAGTCCATCAAGTCCAACCTATTGTGTGTGTGTGTGTGTGTGTGTGTATAGGTCCAGGGTATCATCTCATTCTTGCGAGTACCTGTACGTATGTTGCGGTCTCTTAGGAAATCGTCCAAAAGATTCTTGAATGATTCCACACTATTTGCTCAAATCACTGCTTGTGGCAGCGAGTTCCAGACCCTAACCGCTCGAACTAAAAAGAACCCCCTTTGCCCCTTGTGTTGGAATTTTTTTTCTACCAATTTTAGGTGGTGGCCTCTAGTCTTTGTTACGGAATTAATCTTAAAGAGTTTGTTGCTATGACCATTGAACATCTTGTACATGAAAATCATGTCCCCCCTTAATCTCCTTACTTCCAGCGTGAACATATTTAAATTTAGTAGCCTTGTCTCATAGTTCTGGTCCTCCATCCCCTTGATGAGTTTGGTTGCCCTCCGCTGGACTCTCCAGCTCAAGGACATCAGTTTTTTGTTTTTTTGGCAATATGCTTTTCGCACTCGTATTTTAGCTGCCCGGATTACTAGTTTACATCTTTTATTTCATTCTTTGTAGTTATGGAACGCCAATGCCGTCCCCTCCATCTTATAATTTATAAATGCCACTCGCTTTTCCTTTATGTGATGCTTTACATTTTTATTCATCCATACAGGCTTTGTTTGTGATCTTTTACTTTTATTACCCAACGGTATACATTTGGCAATGGCAATATGTAATGTGTTTTTAAAACATTCTCACTTTTTTTTCCGAGTTCAGTTTGTGAAATACATTTTCCCATTTCATGTCCCCCACTAGGTGGCACAGTTTATCAAAGTTAGCCCTTCTGAAATTTAGGGTTCTTGTCCTACCAGCTCGCTTCCCTTTCCTGTATCCAATATTGAAAGTAATCACATTGTGATCACTATTACCCTGTGTCTCCCCAATTACAATATCCTCAATTAACTCTGGATTATTAGTAATGATTAAATCTAGGATGGCATTTTTCCTAGTTGGGACCTCAACCATCTGGTCCATGAAATTGTCTCGCAACATGTTCAGAAAGTGGCCCGCTTTTGTTGAACTTGATGTTCCATTAGCCCAATTTATGTCCGGGTAATTGAAGTCGCCCATCACGACTACATTGCCCTCCCTCCCAGCTATTTCTATTTCGGACTGTAGATGAGCCTCCCCCTCCTCCCCTATATTTGGAGGCTTATAACAAATACCCACAATTAGTTTACGACTATCGTCCGTCATATCCAGTTCCAGCCATAAGGATTCCACGTCCTCCCCACTATTTGACGTGATATCGTCCCTTATATGCATATTTAGATCATTTTTAACATAAATGCATGCCCCCCTTCTCCCACCTCTGTCTCTCCTGAACAGGTTGTATCCCTCTATGTTAGTGGCCCAATCATGTGCGCTGTCTAGCCAGGTTTCCGCTATTCCCACTATATCGAAGTCCTCTTCGAGTAGCATAAGTTCAAGCTCTTCTAATTTATTTGCCAGACGTCTAGCATTGGTGTACATACATTTAATTCCTGTCTTGTTATGGGACAAAAGTTTGCTTGATATTGGTTGGCCAGTCTTAATTATATTATCTTGGGCCATAGGATTTACTATATTGACTGCTTTGGCACTGGTGACTGGAGCGGGCCCACTAATTGCCCCTTCATTACTTCCCTCTTTATTATTTGTATTCATTTTTAAGTTTTCACTATTTAAATTTAATATTTTTATACCCTCCCCCCCATTATCTAGTTTAAAAGCTCATCCAGTCTTTCTACCATTTTTCCCCCCAGAAATGCTGCACCTTCCACCATTAAGGCGCAGCCCGTCTCGGCTGAAGAGTCGGTAGCCGACTGAGAAGTCAGCCCAGTTCTCCAGGAAACCAAAGCCCTCCTTCTGACACCAGTTCCGGAGCCACTTGTTAAGCTCTCTCAACTCGCGTTGTCTGTCCGGAGTGGCTCTTGGCACGGGTAGTATCTCAGAGAATACTACCGTTGAGGTCCTTTCCTTCATCCTAGCTCCTAGGTCTCTGAACTCCTTTTTTAGGACACTCCGATTTCCTCCTATTTTGTCATTGGTGCCGATGTGCACCATGACAACTGGGTCGTGCCCAACCCCATCTAGTAATCTGTCAATTCGTTCCACAACGTGTTTGTATGTGTATCTTGTTGCTTCTGGTTACAACTCTGTCTGATCCTGGCTTTCTGCTGGTGCTCTTTCTGTTGTCTGTGTGTCTGCAGTTGTCCATCTAAGAACTTCTGTAGCTTTGCAAAGACCAGGTGCTCCTGGTTCCTGCACTTTATTCAGAGCCATTTACCCCTAACTGGCAATGCGCTATTCTCCTGTTTTTCTGTTCTGACCCTGTACTTGCTCTTCTGTCTGTCTACTGTTGTTCAGATCTATGTTCCTGATTTGCCATGGATGTCTTGTTTGCTTCTGTCATTAAGTTCCTTAATTCCAGGAGTTCCTAGTACCACTAGATATGGCCAGCGGTACACTGCTACCTGTGATAGCTAGGACTGCATGTGTGAGTCAGGCCAGTATGAAAGAATGGCTTTCTAATGGCAGTAAGTGCAATTGGAAGAAAGCTAAGCACCATTTCCAAAGCACTGATAGCATTGTAGCTACTTGGCAGAGCTTGGCTGGGGTTTGAAGCAGGACACACTGTGGATCTACAATGGTGGACAAGTTCGGGGGCTTTAGTTTTTCCAAATGCAAATTGACACACATTTTACCTTATCAAAAATGTTGCACATAGTTTGCTAAATGACAGATTTGTTACTAGGGATGCACCAACACCGGTACTATTATCGGTGCTGATACTGAGTATTTGGGTGAGTACTCGCCCAAATGCTCCGATACCGGAACTTCTGGTCAGAGGGAGATTTCCTCTGACCGGTAGTCCCGCGAGAGAACAAGAAGCCAGCTTCCCGGCCAATCAGCATCAAGACAGCTCAGGAAGCCAGCTCCGTGCTCGTAATAATCAAAAATCACTGCGCTGGGAATGAGTGACTCAAAATCTAACTAGCTAAATAGACCAGCAGCAACTATGTGTGTAAGTGAGTCTATTGTGTGGCAGATAAGTTGCGCTCGGTCTAGTTGTAAATGGGTGTGAAAGTGATCTCTCAAAATCAAAGGGCTCCGTGCTAGCATAAGCAAACATAAATATCTGTACTTGTACTCGATAACGAAAAACCGGTACCGGTGCATCCTTATTTGTTACAGTGACACTAAACTGAAGAGTTAAATCTTAAAAATGCATTTAAATAGCCTAACTTTTAACACAAATGTATTTATTTGCGTATCACTCAAATCATCTCTGAATTAATGCTGACACTGTCCTTCCTTCTGGAGGGTAGCTACTTTTGTTCCCCATGGTCCCTGTGTGTGTTGTAAAGTAGCCACCGATCCAAGTTCACTCCAATGTGATGGACTACAATCTCATGTTTAGTTTACTGATTTGTATTGAGATTGTAGTCCATCACAGGAGTGAGCTTGGTGCGGTGGCTACTTTATAATAAATAAATAAATAATAAAAGTTGCCACCCTCCAGAAGGAAGGACAGTGTCAGCACCAATTCAGAGATGATTTGAGGATCTACAGCCGAGTGATACACAAATAAGCTACCTTACTGTTAATAGCTACACTACTTGAATGAGTTTAGTGTCACTTTAAATATTTCTTCTGGCTGATAGTTACAGCACTGGGTTCAGTATCTTCTGCTTGGAGCCCAAAAAGTTAACATGCTTTTGGGAATCCTGGTGTCAGTCTTCCAATGGTGAGATGGTTTCCAGTACAATGTATTCCATATATGTCAGGGAAACTCCATCTAATACAACACACCCCACTTCTGTCTCCTCCACTTCTAATATGCACTGGATAAAAGCACTATCCCCATGTGTCCCATTTTGAGCATGGTCCTAGTCTAGATAGGAGATGCTCTTGGCCAAAAGTCTGGTACTTTCTTAGCCAGCTGATGTAGTCACTGGCCAGAAGGAATGTCTAATTTCATTGATGCTTGTGGCCATTTTAGCAGGGGCTGCAGCTTGCAAAGGTACAGGACTATAACTAAATGTGTTGATTTTGCTGTCGTTGGCAGATACTCTTCTAGGAAATGATTAAAAAGGAAGTCATTTGTACGTAGTAAAACTCCACCTTTTATATTAATTGCTCCCGGAGCTTTTACATATTTCTTTAGAAATGGCAATGTCACTTCAGCAATGAGAAAGCGTAGGTAAAGCCAATGGTCATAGAAGGCAAAGTACCAGGTTTGCTTTGTAATAGGCACAGTTAGTATCCTGGAATTACCTTCTCCATGCTGTATAACGTACCCAAGTACTAAGGTCCCAAGAACTACCTCATACATCCGGGTGTGCAGGAATATGTAAAAATACAGCATTCAGTGCTTTGGTGACCCATCAATGGGCCACTGTATGGCCCCTTTTGTTTTTAGAAATTCAAAAGTTACATGTGGCAGTTAATTCGGGGAGTGTGTGAGAATTTAGCTTTGTATACTTCTTGTAAGGTGTTCCTATTTCTTTGTCTGATATGGGCAAAGTACCAGCTTACTTTAAATGATGTTGAATATGAACTAAGAATGGGAGTTATGTTTGGGATCAGCCCTGTGCTATTATTTTTTTTCTATGAATAGATTGATGAGCTAGGTGTTAATTTCTTTCTAAAGAAAACATAGAAAACCGGCGCACAGATCTAAGTGCAGTATAAAAGTAACTGTTTAATAGGGTTAAAAGTAATGCACTTGCAGGATATTAAAAAAACATCTCGCCTGTCACGCATCAGATGAAAGTCCTATCTCAGCTGCTGGTCCAAGATTGCTATCAGGATATGGAGAGAGCAGAGTCCAGTTCAGTCCAGAAAGATTCCACAACGCCAATGCTGGAAGACACAGGTCTGATCCAGTGGCTGAGCACTGCTGTGGCTGGCTCTCTTTAAAGCAGGGTCACAGCTGCTGAGTACTTCCGGGTCATCTGGTGTTGCTAGGCAACGCGTTTCAGAGGTCCACCTCCTTTGTCAAGCCTGTAAGTGCATGACTTTTAACCTTATTAAACAGTCACTTTTATACTGCACTTAGATCTGTGCGCCGGTTTTCTATGTTTTCTTCACAGTGCTGTTACATGGATGTTTCCCTATCCAACCAACCAGGCTGCAGAATCAGTGCACACATCTTCTCTGGATTAATTACCAGTATAACTGGAGCTTCTTTGATACTATAAATATATAGTCCATAAACAATCGATCTAGTTGCGCAAGTTGATGACTTCTGTTTTATGTTGAACTTAGCAATTTCTTTCTATCATATATTTTTTTAAACTTCTGTCTATATAACGTATTTTGCGTTCTATAAGACGCACCGGACCATAGGACGCAGGGAGGTCCGGTGCGCCTTATGGAGCACTCGAAAGACTGTAGCTTCTGTCACAGCTTCTGTGACAGAAGCTGCAGTTAGTGACCGCTGAGACAGGTGACGCTGTGATTACAGCGCCACGGTCTCAGTGATCACACAGAGCAGACGAAGAACGTCCGTTCTTCGTCTGCTCTATGGTGATCTCGATCCCCGCCGCTGCTCAGTTTTAATACGAGTGATCCCATTAGGTCACTCGTATTAAACGAGCAGTGGCTCCTAGTGTACATTTAGCTCTGCTTCAGCAGAGCTAAATGTACAAAAAACGACTCGCCCGGGGCACAGACTGCATGTCTCGGGCGTCGGCATTCGCTCCATAAGACGCAGGCACATTTTCCCCCTCCTTTTGGGGGGAAAAAAGTGCGTCTAATGGAGCGAAAAATACGGTATGTTTCAGGCTACAATGTTCTTCATGACCTTTTCTCTTTCAGAATCTGCCTTGGATGACCTAGATTTAAATGATTTTGGTGTTGCTGCTTTAGAGAAGTCGTTTGATAGTACCACAGTTACCACACCTGGCGGTATAATGATAGGTAATTGCACAATTTTCCTTATGTATGTTATGTTACAGTAGCTATCATTCATTACTGGATTATTGCTTGTATTTTACTTTGTAATCTTTTAAACTACGTCAGGCAAAACTTTTTTTTTTTGTTTTGGCTAGAGTAGCTAAGGGCTGTAACCTCTCCATAGGTTTTTTTCTGCTGCCTTTGTCAGTTATTGTTGTTTTTTGTTTTTTTTTAAATCAGTGTCTGTCCTTAAAGTGGGGCTATCTCCGCACTGCAAGGTTAACTGCTAATTTTCGTCTGGGTACAAAAATAAAAAAGAGTTGGCTGGCTGTCACAGCACACCCTACTGTCCTCCTACACTGCAGTGATGGTATGTCCCTTGGCAGCCTCACATCTATACACTGTATATAGAGCGTGATTACACCAGGATCCTGGAGCGCAGGGGGAGAGATGCTGGAAGGACCAACTCGCAGGTTTGGGTGGGTATAACTTGTTTTTTTTTTTTTTATCTAGACGAAGACGAGCAGTTAACCTTCTTTAAAACTTAAAAATAGTGTTTTGGCTGCGATTATACTTTAAAGTTTAACTCAGGGCACAAAAATTTTCATTTAAATATATTCCACATTAGTCCCAAAGATATAAATTGTCTTTTATGTGCACCAAATGCCTTTGAAATCCCAGATATTCCCTGGGAAGTGACATCATCACTGTGCTGCAAGACCAGTCACCCTGCACAAAGAGAGAAAGCAGCAGTGATTAGCTTTATAACAGGAAGTTAGAGAGAAAGCACGGGAGTTTTCATACCGGATTACTGCACAGATCCAAGCAAGAATACACATGGATCTTGTATTTAGACAATATTTGCTTAGCCAGAATTCAGCCCTTTAATATATACCTTAGCAGTGACGTGACGTGCCTGCTGTGCTGGGTGAGGCATCCCCCACACTGCCGACGCTCCGCCCCCAGCCCACCGAAGCCCCGCCCCAAGCTCGGTCACCAAGCTGTGTGGGGAGGAGCTTCCCTGTCCCTCACTTACTCGTCACCGGTGATATCGATGTCCTCACTGGGTTTTTTTTTTCTTTCTTTTTTTTGATTGGACAGCTTGGACCAATGGCCCTGTGCCATTGGTCCAAGCCATCCACAGAGCTCACTCCTCTAACACAAAGTAGAGGCTGTTGCAGCTCTTGCCTCACCAAGTTATTTTACACAAGCAGTGGGGAAGCCCGCTGCTGTGTAACCTATCTACCTGTCAAAAGCCGGATGCAGCGCCCCCTATAATTAACAGGCAGCGCTCCGTCCATGACAGGTTACACAGCGGGAGGCTTTCCCTGCTGTGTAACCTGCTAGAAGCCGATCTGAATGGAGAAAAAGCTGTCAGCTTCAGACTTGAAGCTGACAGCTTTTCCTCCATAATACTAGGTGAGGCTCTGCCTCCCCTGACCGCAAGTCCCTCTACCTTAATCATCCCCAAAAATTAAAGCTGATAATGCTTTCAGGAGATACAGACTACAGTGTCCTGTACTTTGTTTCTCATTCTGATATTGTTTGTATACAGAGCTCATGCTGTTCAGGAAATAACAATGCTAAAGTCAGGAAGTCCATGAAAAGGGAATGTATGGTCGTTATAATTATTTTTGTAGATATCTGTTTAGAGGAGATTAACTTGATGTAAATAATGCTGTTGACCTTTTATAAACAATAGTTTCTTTTTTTTTTCTATACAAAGAAACAATAGTTTCTTTGTATAGTTCTTAATTATACAGGTGAAACTCGAATAATTAGAATATCGTGCAAAAGTAATTGCAGTAAGTGCTGCAAAAGGGGCCCAAACCAAGTACTGAGTACATATGCATGCTTGTACTTTTCAGAGGTCCGATATTGTTCTATGTACAACCCTTGTTTTATTGATTGCATGTAATAATCTACTTTTTTTGAGGTTGTGGATTTGGGGTTCTTGGGGTTTTCATGAGCTGTAAGCCATAATCATCACAATGATGACAAATCACGGCTTGAATTATCTTGCTTTGCATGTGATGAGTCTATCTCATATATTAGTTTCACCTTTTAAGTTGCATTAGGGAAATAAATGAACTTTGCACGATATTCTAATTATCCGAGTTTCACCTGTATATCTACATGTGGAGGGCATATTGGCACATTGCATATACCGGCCTTTTGCAGCTGCACAATAGTTATAACTTATTGCTAATAGGTTTAACCTGGCTGCTACACTCAGTGAGCGACTATGTTTTAACAGCACAGGGAAGTCTCTCAGCTTAGCGGCTGTAGCTGCAGCTACTACAGCAGGGGTGCCCATTAGGTAGATCGTGATCTACCAGTAGCTCTCAAAGCTGATGCTGGTAGATCACAAAGGGTGTGAATGGTTGACCCTTTATTCCATTTTGGTATATTTATTTAGCTGTGCACACATGATTACCTATTAGCCTGCTGAGCCAAGCTCCCTGACTCCTTTCTGGTGGATACTGGTGGTTGAAGTGCGATGTATTACATCAAAGAATATTAGTTTACACAGCCTGTTGCACTGCACTCAGGGCCGTCTTTAACGCGTGGCAAAGAGGGCGCTTGCCCCGGGCCCATTCATGGCTGTGGGGCCCAAAGCAGCTGCTCCTTGAGCCCGCTGCCAGCAGAAACTTGCCGATCGGATCGCCCGCGTAGCGCAGGGATCGGCAAGGTGTCCGTACCGCCGCGGTCGTACCGTAGAATCAGCACAGGAAAAAAAAACCTTCCTGCACGTGGGCAGGAAGGTACCAAAACATCACATTAGATGGGGGGTTGGGACGTACCAACTGTTCCGTACGACTCGTACGGAACAGTTGGTACGT